TTGCAACAGGTTAAGATTTAGAAGTTGTCTTCTTCCTAAGAGTCGGGGGTGGAATAGTGCATGATCGCTCCCTCTATATTGGAATTATATGTCTAATACACACACAACGGTAGTCAGTAGTTTGACTCGAAAACCTCGAAGGACGCGAAGTTTCTGGTGAACGGATATTTTAGCACCTCTTTATAGTTGTGGTTAATTAGAAGGGAGTGTGTAGTCAAACACTATTTCTGAGGGCGATGCTCCACCCATAGTCTTGTTGTGTGGCTGAACGTTCAAACGCATATGCAGCAATCGTGAGTACAGGAGTGCCAGAAGCGCTTTTTGCTGCTTTCTCTACCGATTAGTGATCGGTTAGCGACCAGTCTTCGAAGAAAACAAGCAGTGGTAAAAAGCCTTGAATGACCTCAGTCCATGCTAGGGACTCCGCCCTGACTGATTTCGACGATATGAGCTGTACATCCACAGAAACCCTAAAATAAAAGAAATAAAAATCCTTTGAAAAAATCATGTTCATTAGTGAGCGGCATCTTCTTAGTACTGAACCAGAGGATGAGAAAATTGAACGTCAACTCGTACAAGTTCGAGGACACATCAAAGAATAATGTTAAGAAGTATCTTAGATACTTAACAAACTTTATTACTTACTACTTAACTACTTAACAAATATATAATGCGGTTCGCAGAAGGGAAATTCTTCATTCTGTTTGTCTGTGGTCGGCCGAAAGATTCGTGCGTCGTGAGTGTAGCGAACACTGTTGTGAAAGTACCTTAGTCCCATCACTGAATTGGTGTAGCTCACAGCTTTTTCGCAATTTCTTTAGTAGGTGGCATGAACATGGTTACGGGCATCCGCTGCGTCACATCAAATAACACTACCACCTGCCATTCATCTCTTCTTCCTTCAGCGTCGTAGTTAAACGTCATGCTTCGCCGCGAATGATCTCAACCTCCGAACTTGCATTTCTACTTTGATATATGGAGCCATCTGTCTTCCTGATTCTTCGTGTTCACCGTTCTAGCCGTGTACGTTACACAACGACCAATGACTTCCCGTGGGTGTGTGGCAATTACATAGATTCGACGTACATCTATGAGTCACGAGTGTGAAAAGCTAAGAAATATCTTATGAAATTGAAAAGCGAATATCTCTATCGAAAAGCGAATGAGTCTAGAAAGATAGGGCTTAACATTAACTCCGGACATCACTCACATTAAGGTATCGCCGATATTGCGTCGCTTTTGTCCTGTTGTTTTGTGCGACTGAACCGCGAACTTGGTCTGGATGAAGGTTTCCAGAGTGTCGCCTTGGCCTGCCTTACTATCAGCGGTGCAGCATTCGTTGCACATATGATCGGGAACATGCTTATTACCATTAATCGATACTCGGCTGTTTGTCTCACGAATAAATACGATGTGGTGATTTTTTTTCCTCTATAAGAACTCCTCATAAAACATGAGAGAAATTGTCCTCACATTTGCAAACATTTATGGCAACATCATGGAAACTTCATAATAACGAAAGATAGGTTTCTTACAGATTTGGACCAGGAAGTGTGTCTTGGCAGTAGTTGTCGTCCAGTACCTCGTTTCGTTTGCTGCTTTCATCCATCTCACTGGAGCGAAACTGATATATATTCACCATGAGGATGGAACGGTTGCATGTGATGGGCTCGAAAAACACGTCGATCTTGTGAGTATGTTACAACTTTCCAGAGCATGAGTATTCAGCGCGAACGAAACCAAAATTTTCCGCTTTCCTAAGGGGAGATTGGGAGCGGAAATTCTGTAAATTGCGCCACCGCTTAGGGCTTGTCCGCACCGTTTAGGCATGTCGTGTCCGTTTCGTCTGATCAAGGGGATGTAACACAGAAAGAGGAGATGTAACGCAGAAGGATATACGGATGCTGTGAAGTGTGCTGGTCAATGAGTTATTAGAGATAGCAAATATTGACACAGCATATTAAGTGATAGGAAAATTGCATAAATAAAGTGATATGATCGAATAATCTTTAAAATGGTGCTCGAATCAATTTTAAATGAATGAGCCGCCGTTGGACCGTTGCTTTTTGACATGATCTCTCTATCTTCCTGTGGTGCTCTCTGACTCATGTCGAGAAATTTTCTAGAGGAGAATGTGGGATCACGGATAACTGGCGTACTGCAAAATCCAACGTGGAATTGCTGCAAAATCACGAATTGGAAACCATGTCAACACCCGAATCGAAACATGACCTTTGGGGAAGAGCAGTCCAATATGGATGGACACTTACAGCTGCGGAAAAAAAAACTTGGAGCATGCCAAAACATTGGGAATTTTCCATCAAATTATTACTTGATTTCTCTTGACATCCGCACCGAAATATTGTGGATATAGATGAAGTATCCCTGGAAGGACTGTCTTGACAAAGCAGTAAAAAACGACTGCAAGCAATCACAGGAAAGCGTGAAGTCTATAAGCTTTGGCACACAAGGACAGCACCTGGATCACAAAATGACCGAGTAAAAGCTTTCACCTCACTACCATCAGGCAGCTTGAGATGACTCGAAGCATGAGTCAAAGGAAGGAA